CCTTAAAGCCGAAGGCTCTGCCTCCCATTATACTTTGAAATAATCTAGGAACAACAAGTAAGGCCGCAATCTGAGAGCAAAGTGCTCTAACGCATTGATAAGGTATTATGTGGTCTTTCAAACACACAACTTGTGCTGCGTGGCCAGTAGAAAAACTTTAAAATGGCTCAATGCATATACAAATACCACAAACACACCACAAAAAAAAAAAAAAACTGACCTACTGATCTCGCTTTAGTCCACTCTCACCATCAAACACCTCAAACAATGGAGGCAGCCTCGCCCTGACACTCGAGCTTCATTCAACAACCTGAGCCTGCAGTACTCCTGGGATTACAATGCTTGGCTGAATACACTCCTGAACAAACACACAGATGGCATTTGTTCAGCAACCACAACAACCCGAGGAAACGCAGCGTACACATACTGTCAGTGGGTAGCAAACGCGTCTCCGTGTAGTATCTACACACAGTCCTCTGGGACTTTTGTCTTGACATTTCAATCCACGCAGACCGATAACTTCACTTCATAGTTTGGCTCTGTGATGATGTGCAATCTCACATCAGAAACTAAAACCACACAGTGCCAGCCACTCTCGCAGTACAGTACGGGAGCTGACAAACAAGTGAAACACACACAGTCATGAGGCACTACTGCCCACACACACTCACTCACTCACTCGCATCCACTGATGTGAGTCATCCAAAAATTAGATTCAGCATCTTGCGTTTCAGCAGCAGAGCAGAGAGGTTAAGACTTTGGTCTTCTGCTGTTGAGTCCAAGTTATTTTGCTCCGGCAGCTAACAGTCAGGCAAACAAAGAAAACAACAGGAGGCAGAGAAAACAAAACCAGCGTTCATCCACCAAAGGGTCATTGTGTGCTAGAAACACAAAGGATTAAAAACAACCGTCGTATTTACCACATAATACTCTTGGAGGTATTTTAACCGCTTCACAATGACATCTGTAATTTAATTACAGCTTTCAACCCTATAAAAGAACAACATCAAATTACTAGCAGACAATCCTCAAAGTTGTATTTTCAAAGTTCAGCCGCTGCTAAAGAGCATCTTGGACTGCAGCAGCTGTTGTTCTGCGAGCTGCAGAGCAAAACCCTTACTGTCACTGCTCAAGTCAACTAAATGCAGATGATGAATGCTTTATTGTGATTCCAAAAGAGCATACACAGGTTATTTTATTATTACTTTCTTAAAACACTCACCTGCCATGGATGTCTTCTGCGGGAAGAGGGATTCTCTTCATAGCTGCTTGTTACCAAGTACGATGCACAATGGAGGAACATAAACTCTCTAGATAAACACTTTTAGTCTTTGGCCACCATAGAGCAGAATAATAGGTGACCTTTCTCCACTCATAATTAAATCCACCTCCATGTGGCAATTAAAGGCAGCCGCTCACCAACACTGACACATTAAAACAAAAAGAAGTATTTTTTGCCCCAAAATACAAGTAACACCTTTCTCAGACTGATTTCTGTTCTATAAATTGTATCCACTTCATATCAATAACTAATAAAGCTTTTTCAAACACACTTAGATAAAACGTGCAAATAATAAGCCGAAGAAAAAGGGGAAAAAACCGGACATAACCAGAACATGATAAGATTCAATCAGCCTCTCAGCTAATTGTCTATGAATGTGCATCACAGAATTGGTGTAGCCTAACTAGTGTTTTCAATCATTAAAGGCAAGTCAAAGTCTAATTTAAACTGGGGACTTTACACAGAGGCATGCCCTCTGTGGGTACATGCTGTTGAAGCTAGCACCTTCAGGCCTTTTCATCTTCCATGCTTATAATGAATTAATAAAGACCTGTTAGTTTCTTTAGCAGTCCCACACAAAGCTCATTGGACCAGCAATAACACACCCCAAGGCCTGCCATTACACTACCAACTGCCACACCAGTGAGCATCAGCCTCCTGCAGTCAGCCCCCCATCAGGGGTCAGACTGGCAGCAGCGCTCTGCTTCAGCCTGCTGATGACAGGAAGAAAACCCAGAGCTGCATTTCTGCAGGTTGGCATTTTCATACCCGGCCCCTGAGCAGGGCGTTCTTTGGACAAGACAAAACCGCAGCCTAACACAGATTTTCACAGAAGCTGAAACTGATGGTCACATTTTTTCTTTTTCATCTTTTTAATCCAACATAAGTTTCCTTGTGATAAACATTCGGCAGTTTATCTGACATTTCTTATGACCAAAGGGTCAGCGGCACATTCAGTTTGCCTGACTTATCCAACAAAAACGGAGTCAATCAACGGAGCTGTCCAGTCACATCAGGTCAGTTCTGTTTTTACTACGACACACCTCAGCAGGAGCGAGAGTGCGGGGAAAGGGAACAGCAAAGAGTCGGCAGTTTGGAGGCGTTTCATTTCCTCGTCTGCTCCACTCCGTGTGTGAGGAGGTGCAATCACAGAGGAAGGAGAGACTAACATGGCTGCAATTAACATCACCATGCTGTACATGTCTTTCCAATGGTGTAGTGGGGGGTATCAAACATAAGGCCTGCTCCAATCTGGCCTACTGGACCACTTTGCAGATAAAGAAGACCACCCCCATCACCATTAAGCAAAGATTTAATGTGTTTAATGTGTTTATGTGCTGACAGATTTACTATAGCAGCATTTCTTTATTATGTAGGAAAACTGAGATGTTCTGTTGAAAGTGCACTTCTTTTTCATATTATTAAGATATTCTGGGGATTAACTGTGCAGATAAACCTCTTTACACTGACAGAAAGGGCAGTTTTACTGCTTCACCCCAGTAAAAACTAAATAAAGGGGGCTGCATGTGGCCTTTGATGCAAAATGAAACATCCCCGGTGTAGCGGTTAACACATTTGCTTGCGGCCACAGACACAAATTCCCTTTGGGGTTGCATCAGGAAGAGTATTTGACATTAAACTCTTCTATTGTAATCTCTTGTGGCTTTCTAGGCAGTAAAGACTTGCACACTGAGCTAAAACCAAACTAGTGCAAAACACTTTTTAAAATCTTTATTCAGTTGTCTTTCATTATTTTGCTTTTAAATATAAATTAATATGTTTAACAATATAATTGATTTGGTGTGTTTTAAGTCACAAAGTTAGGCTCTGGAGGGACGGCTTGTTAATGTAACAAATTAGTGTACATTAACATTAACAATGTAACAGATTAGTAAAAAGTATCAGTATCACATCAGTAATGCAATTTAAAGTATTAACTTCAGCGAATAAATTTAAGATAATTTGTCATCAACTGACTAATAAACCTATCACAACACTGCCTACTTCTCCGTCACGCAACCACCTATCCTCCTTCATCATCTTCCACCTCCTCCTCCTCCTCCTCCTCTCTGCAGTTTTCTATCCAGCTCAGGCTATAGAACCCACCCACAGGTCGCAACATAAGACAGCTAGCCTCCTGCTTGTGCCCCTCTGATCCCTTGTTAGAGTCTTTTGAGGGTTTGTGTATCTGTGTGTTGGCTGAAGTCGGCCCCAGTCTGAAAAAATTCCTATCATTTCCTTGGCAGCCTAAATGGTAATGTCATGTTACACCATCCCGCCTCTGTCACACAAGGAACCATGAACTCTCGCTGAACCAAACCCCCCTTTCAAGTACATCTTTGGCTCAGTAAGCACACATGCCCTTCTCCTCCTGCATCCACCAAGTCGTGCCCTGCACGAAGAAGCTTTTAGGCACTCCGACTCTTCTCTCCGAGCATTTTTGCGGAGGCGTATGGAACGGTGACAAGTCTCCTCACATAAAAGGAAAGCTCTTGTCGTACTTCCATTGCTGAAATCTACCTCGCCTGGAAAGCTGCCCTGAGTGCAGTGAAAGTCAAGAGTAACACTTCTCCACCTCCACCACAGACACTGCTGAAAAGGAGCTTTGTTGTGGAAATAAAAATGAAGGACACAATCATTTGCCACGTTTTGCCTCTCATCTTTCAACAAGTGCAGGGTGGTCTGCTCAAGCGCACGCTGAGATATTTAAGAAACCTCTGACACCGAGAAGCAGTTTGTTTTCTTTTCTGCAGAGCAAAAACCTGAGCGTGACTTTTCCAACCAGCAATTCAGATCCCAAATTGAATGCCAATTTGGGGCATCCAGAGTGCAAAATTACAGTTGACTTTTACAAATACCACCACGCTGATAATGACTTTGTCCTTTCTCTCTGAAGTGATCCAACTATCAACAGCACAGACACCTTAAGAAAAAAAGCCCAAATGTGAAGACTGCTGGGACCAACGGGGACCCCCTTTTAGGATGCGCAGACTCCATAAATTAATGATCAGTCTCACTGAGGCAGATAATGTCAAGTTCACCTGCTCACAGCAGGATTTACCACCGAGGCTGACAGCTTCTGCTCTGCATAGTGTTGAAATAAATCACCCCAGGGCAAACTGTCAGTTTGCAGCATTTACATAACTGGCTTCCTCATCATTATTGCAAATGTAGCATTGTAGCATTGGGCACAGTTCAACCCTTTCCCTCAACCCTAAGGCGAATCAAATACTCCATGCCAAGCAATGTAAATCAATTACACCTCGACTCATTGGTTATCTATCGGGAATTTGTGACTCCTAACATTATTAATCGCTGTAATGTGACTTTGCTGATTTGACTGGTCTGACTCTGATTTATTATCACTTATAACACCTTAAAGGCTAAAACAGGACAAATTATTCACCTTTTGAGACTAAAATCCGTCTCCAACAGTTCAAACTCAGAGCATCAGCTGTAGGAAAACGATGAATAAACTTGAGCTGTTCAGGACGCATTTCCTTTATCAGGGAATTCCTTCACAGCATATATAAACCGGCACTTCTTTTACTACAGTGGTAAGACACGGTGCAGGTCAGCTGAGACAAAGTTATCCGCTGTCTCTCCTCTGAGAGCGTCCTCTAAACGCCGCGGTTCACCGGTGCAGCAGGTGTCTCCGAGCGGCAGAAGGACGCACGGTCAGCGGATCCGAAACAAACTACCAAACAGCCCGGCTTACCTTGTAGACATTCTCCGTTATACGGTGCACCTCGTCGGTCCGGGACATCCTTGTAGGCGTGTCAGTCAGAACCATAGACTAAGATTTCCTTTCGGATGAGGCTGGGAGGGTTTTCCGAACTGTAACAAGGGGAATGAAACAGCTGTTCGCGGGAAAGAGCGGCTCCTGTCTGCCGTTCACTGGGAGAGAAGAGCGCGTCTGGTCGTGGGATCCCTGCTTTTATAGGAAAGTCCTCCGCTGCGCCCACACCGGCTCCCCACGCAGCCAGTCAGTCAGTCGGTGCCTCTCGGTTGGAGCGCAGAGGCGGACTCACTCTGAGAGGGGCGGTGCTGCTTTCAAGGGCGGTGGGAAATAGAGTAACTTGCGACCTAAATTACAACAGTACATAAGGGTGAAGCGGCAGGAGCCATCATTCTCCAGCGTATCACGTTGAAGCCTGGGGGGAGGATAAAACGGATGTTAGCCTAACAATAAGCAGACGTTAATTTAAGAATTTCCCCCCAAAAAATAAGAAATACGCTTTGTTAAAAAATCTCAAAACTGGATTTTGGCATGTGGATCTAAAAGAGAACAAAGCAAGGACGGAGCCAAAATGGAGTCCAGGGGTGGCACTGGCCTCCGTAAAATTTGCTTGGACCCCCAAACCTGTGCTACCCCAAAACGGCAGAGGAGGTATGGAGAAAAGGTGTGGTCCTCCTAAATACAGCTAATCAGTGCCCCCCAAATCTGGGTTGGTTCCTCTCTGGTAGTCCAGCTTCATCCCTCCAAAGACGTGCATTAGGTTAACTGGGGACTTTGGGTGTAGGTGTGAATGTGTGAGGGTGAACGGTTGTGTTAATCCTGCCATATATTGACAGCCTGTCTGGGCTGTATCCTGCCTCTTGTCCTATGACAGCTGGGATACGCTCTGGCCCAGCTGCAACCACGAACTGGATACACAAAGAAAATGGATGAGCCCCACATTTTAAAAAATCACGTAAACATCCCTGAAAGAACCCACCCTAAAATCTTCATCATGACATCATACAGTCGGTCCTTATATTCTGATTTAGCTGGATACAGCAGAGCCCCTGACAGCGCGGCAGCTTGGATAGATTTAGCAGTAAAATACAATTTTTAATTAAATTAGCACAGATACTTTGACACGCTTTCTTCCATGGCTTTAGAAGCTGCTTTTGGTAATCTGACAGGTGGTTTCACTGCTGAGTTCCTCCTATTAAAAAGCACTAATCTCATTTAAAATGTAAAGGCTGGTTTGTACTGACAGACTTTATAGGAATCACCTTTTTTTCTTTTTGGGAGTATAGACAGCTTGTTTGACATTAAAGACTTGAAGTCGGGTGATTTTTTTTGTTTCAGTTATCAGTAATCAAGCATCTTTTTTTCCTGATAATTGTAATAAAACCTGCTTCCTTCGCCCTCTAGCCAATAATTTGTGTTATTATTATTAATATTGTAAGTGATCATGACTGAAACCACCAGGCAGTGTGCTCTTGTGTTATGATGCTTTGCACTGAGTCTAGAAATGCAGCACAGCTTTTAAAGAAGCCACACCTGCTCTGCTGTGTCAGCCATCCCACGCCTCCTCTGCTACAACCATTCACAAGACCTGACTGAGCAGCTCCATACAGAAACCGCAACAATCTTCATCCATTTAGTCGGTACAAATATTAAATTTTCCAGTATCCCTATTCTTATAGTGATTTATTCAGTCTGTGTTTATTATTTCAGTCGTTTAGACCCTCCGGCTCAGTCTTCCCTCTACATAAAAGGGGCTGTAAGAGAATGGAAAGGTTTTTTTTGTGTGTTTGTTTTGTGAAAATGTAAGTTTTAATAAACCCACAACAGAGAAAGATTTTACCCACATATGTGTGCCTGCTCTATATTTGTGTGGCGGTTGGGTGAGTGGGCTCTGGTTGGTATGAGTGGGATGGAGCCACATTTGCTTGGATTTGTAAGCCCTGGATTGTGGGCCGGGAAATCCCACACATCACGATCTGAGAGCTGCTGAATGGGGATGTATTTAAATAAAAGAGACAGAAGCAGAAGATAACAGAAGATAAGTGCGAAAAAGGACAGTCATGCCTTTTTCTTTTCTGCAACACGTTTTTTTTCTCTCGTTTAGTGAGATAGAGCAGATATTTAAGAGCAGCTTGTAGACCAGATAATAAAGTGGCACCGTGGATCTCTACCAGAACAGACTTATTTTGTTTTGTTCATCACATCCGATTAGAGCGAGTCCCGAGGAAACCAAACTGCAGACAGTTAGTGGAAATCAATCAGGCATGTTTGGTCTTCGCTGGAGCAAACAGCAGCCTTCCCACTGTCAGCGAGGCTATTGATTTACTCCTCTGTGAATATTCAATCCCCACAATTAGTTTCCGTAATTGAATGTGAGCTGCCATTATGTTTGCTGACATCCAACCTATTCTGAAGTATAATTGTACACAAATTAATTAAGACATTGATTATTAATCATGGGTAGTTTGAGAAATAAGCTAAGCTGGAGGCTTAAGACTGAAGTCAGGCGTGAAGTGGCAAAAATGACGACCTGAGACTAAAGAAATGACAACAACAACAACACAAAGCATTTAACCATTAAACTTATCCAGTCTTTTGATGCCTCTGATACAAATTTCTGGCATTTAATCCAAAATGAGCATATAGCCCCTAAAAATAGTCTCAGTTAGTACATTGGTTTGCTGAAGGTTGTTCCTTTACACGTACTTTTTACATTTTCTTTTGGTTTAAACTGGGTTCTGCTTGAGGCTGGGGTTCAAACCACAAAATAATCTATGAGATGTGGCGTTTTTGGCAGGATAAGATTGGTATTATTCTAAATATATAACACATGAAACCGCTTATGAGCTGTCTTATGAGATCAATGCAGATTTAACCATGCAGTCTTGATAAAAAACCAGCGTGGAGCAACACATCTAGTTGCAAATGGGAGGCCTGATTGTATGGAAGTCAACAGTCGTTGGCTCCTTTGGTCTGTGATCTCGTGAATTTACAGGCTGACCATTTTCCAAACAAATTTATGTGCTCATGATCAGAGCATGATCTTTATATGTCAGCTATGATCTCTGTCAGTGTCAAAAAGGTAAATAAAACAGGGAACAAATTAGGGTGGACTCACTTTATAACACATGACCTGTTACTGCGTGAGGATGCAGTGTCAGTTTACATATTTATGTCAGATTTAACACATTTTCATGACCTCTGGTTTCAAAAAAGCTAAGATTGGACTGTGATGACACTCAGAGTGGTATATCCATATATGAAGCTGTATCCACGTGGCTTCAATCAGCATACCTGAAGGCGCCAGCCCAGAAGTAATGTCTTTCCAATGTATTTTTGTCCATTTTAAGCATTTAAAACATTTCAGTGAGCTAATTAGTGATTTAGAGACATTTTATTCATAAATCTGGGGGCTTTTCATCCTTTTATTAGACAGCCAAAAATGGAGAGATGATAGGAAGTGAACGGGCAACTGAAAGGGGAACACAGGAAACAGTGTAAAAATTAAGTTCTAGTCAGAATTTGGAAACAAAGTACTTAAAATGATCCTTTAGGACTGGGGCCTTTAAATAAACTTGTTGAAAATGACATTTCACTTCAGTAAAGTTCTGCATGTGTGTATATTCAGTACAGTGGGGGTGTAATCAGGTAGGCAAGACTCCGGGTGGGCAGGATACACATACACACCTACATACCTGAAGCATCTAATCAGCAGCGTTTCATGTGAAGCCTACTCATCATCGTCCTCTCAGGCTTTTTCTCTCAGCTTTAGATCCACGTCTGTGATTCATCAGCAAGCGCGGCGCTCTGACATTCAGTCTGTGCGCCGCCCACTCCCACACACCTCCGAAAAGGCTTGTAGTGCGCAGTCAGAATGGATTCAGTCCATTCAAAAAAACAAAAAAAAACAACAAAAAAAAAACAGTGTGAAGTGAACAAAAGCAATTCAGGATATTTCAGACTCGTCAATACATCGGCTTTGTCGGAGAGAATGGTTCAAGGTTAGAGATGGGACCATTTAATGTCTCCCTATCTATCTGATGCTTCGTCCTCAGCTGAATGAGCTTCGATCACCTTCAGAACAATAGCAGAGCAAGGTCATGGTGCGCCTGTACTTTTCATCTGAGTCATACATGCTAGAAGCCACAGAATGGGGGGGTAACAGATTCATTACGTGTTTTTTTGTTTGTTTTTTTAATATTAAGAGTTTAAAGGTCTTTAATCTTTAATATTAATTCAAAAATATGACAAATCAGTTTGCAAACCATAAAACAGACCAATCATTGAGATTTATAATAACACAGATCATTAAACTTGTGCCTCCTACTCTGATGAAATTAAAGAGGATTGTGAGGGCTCGTCAACAGTCTCCCCTTCTTTTATAGCACTGATGAAATGCCAATCGTTACTTTAAAGATAAATCATGCACACACCTCTGTACCCCCATTAGCACCACACTGTGCTATTAAAGTTTTCAATATCTTCAAATTTAAATTAAATAAATTGACATAAGGCTAAAACAATGCGGGTATGCAAATGATTGGATTACAACCCTCAATTTTTCACTGTCAGCGGAGCCTTTTTCATTCCAGATGGACACAAAAGCATTACTGTCATTTAATCATTAAAGTGATCTGTGCAGGACATTCAAGCTCCTCCACACCAAAGCAGGAAACAAATTTCTTTGTATGCCATCATTGACCCATTTCCCCTTGTGTGATGTGGGAAATAGGTTAAACATACACCGATCAGATGTAAAATGATGACCGCTGACAGATGAAGTGAATAACTATCATATTCACTGATGGATATCCATGGAGGGAGGGGTTATATAAAGGAGCAAGTTAACATTTTGTCCTCAGGGTCAGGGCATCTCCAGTAGAGTGTTCCTCTATCAACAGTGGTCCAAGGAAGGAACAGAAGGCACACGGGGAATGAAGGCTGGCCCATGTGGTCCAATCCAACAGATGGATCTACTCAAATTCCTGAAAAACTTCATGCTGGTTCTGACAGAAAGGTGTCAGAGTACAGAGTGAATCCCAGTTTGCTGTGTATGGGGATGCAGAGCTGCAGACCAGTCCGGCTGCCTGTGCTGAGCCCTGTCCACTGTTAAAAGCACTAACCATGTGCACGCAAGCATGAACTGGACCACAGACCAGTGCAGGAAGGTGGCCTCGTCTGGTGAATTCCATCTTCTTTCACATCACATGGATGTTGCTCACCTGGGGAAAACCTGGCACCAGCACGTCACCATGGAAAGAAGACAAGTCGGTGGAGGCAATGTGATTCTTTTGGGCAATGTTCTGCTGGGAAACCTTGAGATGCTACTTTGACATGTAGCTTCTACCCAAGCATGGTTGGAAACCATGTACCTTATTTCAGAGGAACAGCATTCCCTGATGACCTGATGGATAATCCACCCTGCCACAAAAAAAATGGTTCAGGAATGGTTTGAGGAGCACAACAAGTTTGAGGTGTTGATTTGACCTCCGTATTTCCCAGATCTTAATCCAATTGGGCATCTCTGGGATGTGCTGGACCCCAGCACACCTTCAGGCATGTAGTTAAGTCCATGCCTTGACAGGTTTGGGCTGTTTGGGGAGCAAATGGGGGACCAACACAATGCTATGCCTGATTGGTATATATTTAGAAAAATAAGGCGGCCCAAAATATTAAATTTTAGCTACAAGATAACTTTCATCTGGATATGAGAGGAAAGCCCCACAGTAAACTGTGCACCTAATTCAGTTTTATTTACACAGCACCAGTTCAAAACAGTCATCTCAAGGTCCTTATGTAAGGACCCTACAAAATTAGAGACAGAAGCTCAGTGATCAAAGAATCCCTTATAAGAAGCATTTGGAGATAGTGGGGAGAAGGACTCCCATTTATTCCAACACGTAGAGACCACCTGCCTTGGCCAGTTGTGAAGTGAGGAGAGAGAAAACTGGAGCCCAGCAGCTTCAAAACGGAGTGATCTGCTGCCACCTTGTGGTCACTCACTGAATAACAATCTGAACAGTGATTTACAGGCAGTGAGATAACGAACGGCAATAAAAAAAACACTTTTATTGTAAAAAGAATATATAGAGGTACAATATCTGAGGCCATTTTAAGACAAGCAGTTTGCAGCAGGACCGGCGAATCGCAGACTGTCAGTATTAGTCATCAGTGTTTCTGTCTGTGAGATTAACTGATTTACAGATTAGTTAGCTGGATCTTCAAAGATGCACAAGCTTTAAGCCTTCTGGATCTAGGCCACCCTTCTTGCACCACTTTAACATGAATATGTAAAAAAAATCGAAAGCATCATACGCACACACTGAAATAATTAGTTTTGATCATACTTGATGGGTAAAGCCCCAGGTTCTGTCAAGTTATTACCTTGAAGAGATTACCAGCTGTTGTCTGGGCGTCAGAGGTAAGCCCACAGACGATATGATTAGCCCTTTCTCCAATGACACTGAACTAATCCACAAGGGGAGAAAGGAATTAGATTAGTTAAGCTGCTTGAAAAGGGGTCAGACTGAGAGAATATTCTGTGAAACTGATGCAAATAGTTTTGTTTTGTTTTTGGGGGGTACTTTAGGGTGGGTTGAGTAACTCAGAAAGCAAAGCCAGATGAAGAGAAGGCCTTTACGGTAAGAGAAAGACACCAAAGACTTTACAGAGAAAATGTTATGTTTCTGTTCTACCTGCTTTAAAGGATCAGTTCACTCAAATCACAAGAAAAACAACTTACCCCTCAATCCTGTTGCTAAATGCAAATGTTTTATAAGCAAAGATTTTTAAAAACTAGCAGAAATTTGATCTAATCATCCCTTTTTGCAACCACAAATAAGTTAATACATGGAAGAAAAATGTCTCTATGTGAACTTGTCAGAGACCAATGATGGTCAGAGCTGTTGGCAATAGCTTCCCAGGCTTGTTTCTCTGTTATTACATTCACCGATCACTGATCCATCATCTATGTAACTATGTTTGCCGAGATGCTTGTTTTTGCGCTCCTCAAGTTTTTGTTTCACCAGATGTGTTTGTGTTTGTTGCAGGGAGGCTGAGTGGGAGATTTTACACAGATAAAAACAGGCTGAGTGCATTAGTAGAACGACGTATATCAAAGAAAGTAAAGAGCCAGGCAAATGTTAGGGTAAATAATTTATCGCCATATGTGAAGGAGGCTCTGTTCATGGTGAAAGTTGGAAATTAACTCCTCCATCATTTTGTTCTGTGTTTAGGTCACAAAGTTTGCAATAAGAGTAGATAGGGCTAACTCCATTTACTCCAACTTGCTGTACAGGTATCAGTTACTGGTGAGCAAACAGAGGGCCAACAAGATGACAGGAAGGTGGATCAGATCGTCAGACCACAGCACCATCATGACGTCTCTTCTGCATTTTTACCCCTCCCTCACAGGACCAACGACAGAACAGATGTATGTGTTCTATAGCAGGAAAAAAGCAATTTAATCTCAGCTGGACTTACTGCAGCTGTAAAGCAAAAAAACTAAAAACTAAAAAGAAAATCACCACAATCTGAGAAAGCATGGCAACACAGACCTGATGCACTGAGGTAAATGTGTGTTTCTGTAATTTGGGTGAACTGGCTCTTTAAAAATATTAC